CCGAAAAGAACCAACTCTCGAACCAACTGACACGGATGAGCCTCAGGCATTCCACCTGACACAAAGGAGCAGGACACACAAGATGAGGTCCCATGATTCCAATTACACAAACTACAAAGGCAGAACTCCTGAGTGAGAAAGCAGACTACATGTGCCTGGAATGGAGGTGGGCAGACTGCAAATGGGCATGAGAGCACGGGGTGCAGCAGGTTTCCAGAGCCGGGCTGGGGCAATGGGTGCACCGTGTACATTAAGATGTGAAATGTTCATGTGCCAACTCCCCAGGATGAGTGTAGCATGTATTGCAATATGTACTAATAAATTTTTTAAAAATCTAGCAAAACATGGAAATGTACTGAATAGTTGAATTTTATGGTATGCCAGTTACACTTCAATAAAACTGTTTAAGACGAGGTGTTCTGCAGGTCATATAAATCTAGGCTATGTTAAAAACCAAAGGTATAAAGGATGAGGACACATCAATGCTCATCAGAAGGATGATGGAGAATGTGGTAAAATGAGATCATCAGCATTATGGTTGGGTCAGCACAGGCTTGCTCACAAAGTCCTGGAATAGTAAAATCTGCATAAAGGTAAACTGAATATCAAGGGTTCATATCACATAATAAAGCTACCATTCTTATTTTCAGAGAGAATGCCCATAAGCAGAATTGATTTAAAATCAATTCACAGATGGGCAGAATTGAAGTAAAGTTATTCAGAGAAGTCAGGAGTGACCGAAGGCACATATTAAGAATGACACTGTAGACGGCGAAACACGCAGCTGTGAGAGGCAGCAGGGAGCTGGAGGGGTGAATGGAGCTCAGGGTGGAACCACGCAGGCAGGAAGACTTCCAGAATCTTCCTGGTGCTGTAGAACAGGGGAAGCCCCAGAAGACTTTCATGGCGACAAGTCAGGTGTGAAACTGACAGTCCCTTGCTAAACGTTTAAATGTTTTCATTGGTAAAGTGGATTTACTGCTACCTATCTTACAGGGCGGTTCTGAACATTGGTGAGCAAACATAAGGGTACACACGCACTAGTGAGGTGACACCACTGCACTGTCCAGGTCCTGGGAGCCTCTGCTTGTTGCTGAGGGAGGGAAGTACCAGTCACCCATGTCCCCTCACCGTCCTCTCCAAAGCTTACCAGTGTTGGCCAGACCGGCGTTTCATTTCACCATCCTAGTAACGTAGCAGTGGGTGGGTAATGAAATGAGGCTGTGGGTCCAGGAAACGCTGCCTTTGCCCAGCGGGATGCTCAAGCATCAAAGAGTGCAGAACATCTAGAAAGGGGTGCTATGGAAAACAGGCCTAACCTGAGCTCTCGTCTCAGCTTGCCTCAATCCATATCTGACTTCTACATCTGGCTCACCCAAAGGTTTAAACTCCTGTTGAAGCCTAGGTAGTTATTATTTGTGGCCATGGGAGAAGAAAAAAATACACCACCATGAAAATGTTGTACAGTAAGCCAGGGATGGTGGTAAAAAGCCTGTAAATGCACGCTTGCAATCCTAGCACTTGGGAGGATGAGTCAGGAGGACTGCCGTGAGTTTGAGGTCAGCCTGGGCTACACAGCAAGACCCTGTCTCAAAAAAAAGCTTATAATCCCAGAACTCTGGGAGGCTGAGCAGGAGGACTGCAAATTTGAGCCCAACCTGGACAACTCTGATATACTGTCTCAAAAAATAAAATAAAATAAAATAAAATAAAAAGCCTGAAAATATAGCTCAGTGCAAAGGCCTGGGTTCAATCCCCAGTACAGGAAAAAAATGTAGACTGACATAAAAAAAAAAAAAAAAATCCTTCCATTGTCTCTCCTTTAAAAAATCACATAGTCTCTATACAAAATTATTTAAAATACAGATAATAAAATCTCCAAAATGCTTATTACTGAGATACAATCATAGCAACACTATGTCAATGTTATTCAAAACCTTTCTTATATGGTATAAATATGGATTAATGTTCTGCAGTGTATGCGTGGACACAAGAGCAGAATACGTGGGTTCAAACCCTGCTGGTGCTGCTTACAGCACTGTAGCTGGTGAACTGGGAAAACGACAGTACCTTCCTCAGGGCTCTCGTGAGGGGCAAGTGAATTAAACGTGCCCTATATCAGAAGTGTGCATGATACAGAACAAGTACTCAACAATGAAAACTATGTTCCCAAGTCAAGATGTGCACATCTGCGCAAGTGCACAACACACACATGTGCATGCCTGTCCCTGACACATGCAATAACTGTAGTGACTGTGCGTGCAGTTCATATGCTACACACAAAATGGGATCTGTGATACACTATGAAAGTGTTTTCTTGTTAAGCACAGATCTGCTTCAGCATTTGATCCCCCTATATAGACAGACCATGCTAAGTACACTGGGCAGCTGTGGATCATTTAGGCTGTTTGCCTAGTTGTTTGGAGGTGTATTTATGTGTTACCTAGTAGACATCACCAAAATTCAAAAGCAAGTCAAATACGATCAGAAAAGCAGCACTCTGCCAGACCAAACCAAGACTATTTTCTATCCCTTTGAACTCCAGGCTAGAGAAGTGGCTTATGCAGCCCACTCAAGTCTAGTTATGATTTAAGTCAGACTAGATCATTCAATACTTGCTCAACATTAAAAACAGGAACAGGGCCTGGGATTTAGCTCAGTGGTGCCGCTGCCTGCCTCGCAAGCACAGGGTCCCAAGTTCGATCCCGGTACCAAAAAGATGCAAAAAAATCACAGGAACAGCATCATTTGAATATGAATTTAATTTTACAAAAAGACATGACTCTTCCAAAATCAAAATCAGGAACACCTTTAAAGCTCCTACTCCAATTTTGCAGATTCTCTGTGCTTGACGGTGGCGTTCCCTCCCTCACCAGCTAGGGCGGCCCGTCAGGTCCCAGCAAGGCTGCAGGGACTTCTTGGGGAGAGACACACACCCTAACTTACTCCCCAGGGTGACTCTCCAGTGAGTGCCAGCGTGATGAGGAGAGCCTGTGAGGCTGTGCAGAACCCTGAAGGGTCACCGTCCTCATACGTCGTCCTGCCACAAGTCTTGACCAACCACATGTGCGCCGATGACTGGCTTGTCCACCAGCTCCACGGCACACAGCTGTGGGCCGCAGCTGCCGCAGGGTGCACGCTCCAGCTCCAGTACTGTGATGTTGTTCGGAGCAGAAGTCGTCAGGATGTGCTTTGGCACAAACAAGGTCATCTGGGGACCCCGAGCTGGCCAGTAGCGGCCCAAGTTAAAGCCATTAATCCATACCTGACCCTGGAGAGAAGGAAACAGAGACAGGTGTGCGCCACCACACCCAGCCTGGTTGTACCAAGTTTCGGAATGTCACCCTGGGTCCAGGTACCTGCAGGCTCAGCACCCCAGTTTCTCCCTGACCTCTCTGGGCTCAGAAGACAACCGCTTCAGTGCCTCCTCCTTTGCTGTCATGGCTGCACTGCCTGGTGTATACCCAGTGAGCACACAGTGACACCAGAGCACCCCAGGGCCTGCAGCCTGAGGACAAGCAGGGACCAGTGCAGTCCCCAAAACAAGGCCTCAAGAAGGGCATGAGGCTGGGGAAGGAGGGAGGGGATCTGCATTACTGCTGTGCTCACCCCAGGTGATGTGGTAGACTCCATGTTTGCTGCAAAGAGCAGAGGCGAACCCACAGGTTGCAAAGATGGCTCCTGTGGGAGGGGAAGCTGCTTCCCAGAGCAACAATGACAGTGGGGAGAAACTCCTAAGAGTAAGGTCCACGTTTGGTGTTTTTGTGCTTCTGGAGAGGCCTTCATACTGAGCTACATACCTAATCCTTTTAAAATTTTTTATTTTGAGACAGGGGCTTGCTAAGTCACTAGTTCCCTGGGCTGGGCTCAAATGTGCAATCCTGCTGTCTCAGCCTCCCACAGTGCTGAGGTTACAGGCTGCCATGTCCCGCTCGATGTTTGGTGTGTCTGCACAGCCTCCCTGCAGATGCCAAGATCTGTCACAGGTGGCTAAACAGATGAACATTCTCTTTCAAAGAAAGAAAGTGAAGTGAGGGTGGAGGAACTCATACACATAAGAGAGAAACAGAAAATCTGGAAAAGGAAGAAAAGAATAAAGACAGACAAGCAGAAGGGAGGAAGGAGAGACTGCTACTACCCACAGTGGCTCAATGCAGTGGCAGCACATCACACCGTGACAAGAATGCCATTCTTCACCCTCCAGGTGCTTACCTTTGGCCACCTGGCAGCTTCCCAATGCCCCTTTTATTCTAACTCCTTCTGAATTTCTTACCGAGCTCATATTCTTGTCCTTCCACTTCCTAGCTGTCAGATCCCAGGCAGTCTCAACTCAGTGTTTTGTACCAGTAACTGGGGACAATGATGACAGAGGGGGCGGTGCATGTCCACAGTCCACACCCCGGCCTGGCGTGGGGACAGAGCTCCACGAGGGCAGGGTTCCTGGTCTATGGAAACAGAGAGTGCTCGGCATTCACATCCCACAGAAGGACGGCAGTGACTAAAAACCACCCGTCTGTTGGATGAAGTCATTTAGAAAAAGGATGACAGTTTCACAGTTCTCAGAACTATTTTACTCTTGTTTTTTACCATGGGATATGTTATCTCCATCCATTCTAAAAGGTATCAGTGAGTTTTACCAGGTTTTTACGAGTTTCAGATGTGCCAGGGCCTTGTTTCTGCAGCACCAGAGAACAGAAGTACTTTGCTGCTGTGACTGAGAAGATGGCCTCAAGGCTGGCTTAGCCAGGACACTCTGTGAGCAGCTTGCAAAGATGTGCCTGTCCTACACAGCCTTTGTGACCTGACACTGACAGAGGCCTGGCCAGTTCCCGACCAATCAGTGAGTGACGAAAAGGAATTTAGCCGGCTCTCACGGCTAAGTCTCATCTCACACATGTCTGAGGGTATCCCTTCCATCTCAGCTGCATGCGCAGGTGGGCCTGGCTGGTAGGCTGGGACTTCCCTGGGATCCCCTCTGCTGTGGGGCTCTGGGTGAGGGCTGCTGAGAAAGGACTCGATTTGGGACTTGGGAGGTCTCGCAGAATCAGCACCACTGCTCTTGAGAGATCATCACGGTCACACACAAGGGCACACTGGGCCGGTGGTCCCTGCTGAGTCCCGGTGCATCCTGCTCTTGGTCCATAGCCAGCTTGTCTTCCTGAATGCTGGCCCTGCTGGCCCACAGCCAGAGGGCATGGTTCCCAGAGACTCTCTGTCTGTCCCCGACTGCTACTGTGGTGTCTCCATGCACTTCTCAGGTTGCCCTTGGCCACCCGTGTCAGGGCTTCAGGGGAGCAGGGGCTGTTTCTGCTCCCACGTTCCCAGCTCCTCCCACAAGTGTGGAAGACTGAATTCATGATGGTGAATACGAAGCTCCACCTCACACCCAACTGTGGCTGGGAGACAGAACGGGAAGGCACAGAGCCTTGCCCCGGCGGCCTTCCTGTCTGACCTTGTAACCTAAGGCCATTGAGCCAGCTGGCTGGGGACTGGCCCATTCCGTGTCTGATGTCCTATGAACTATAATCTTTTCTCAGGCAGGGATGGAGCCTGACACCAGACAGCACTGTGCCCGGCAGGTTCGGCCACGACTGCCTCCTTCCAGAACACTGGTCCATCACTGTAACGAGAGGATTCTTAGAGCTATGAGAACTTAACACAGAAGCAGCAAGAAATTCCAAGAGAGAAATACATTTGATTCTATTTCGTTATATGTATACTATGGTAGAATTAAAATTTGAAACGACCTAGAGCTAGACTTTCTTTTTAAGGTTTTTTTTTTTGGTGCCAGGGATCGAACTCGGGTCCTTGTGCTTGCGCAGCAGGTGGCAAAACCACTGAGCTAAATCCCTGGCCCCAAGGGTTTTTTTTTTTTTTTTTCTTCAATTTGCATCAACCTTGTTACAGAATTTTTTCTATTTCATTTGAATTTTCAAGTTTTTGGCATAAGATTATTCACTGTATCTTCTAAGGTCTCTACCAATGTCTCCATATTTTTTCACCCTTTATACTGATTAATTTTGTAATTTTTTTCTACTTGATTAGTCTTGTGTGGCTTTATTAATTTTTTTTTGCAAAAACCAATTTTTCTCTTTATTGGTTGTTTATTGTACATTTGTTTAAAAAAATTCATTGGATTCTGGTGTTGTCATTTTAAGGACAAGCTTTTCTGGCAAACTAAAGCATAACAAACTTACAGAAAAATGCACTCTGTCATTGTACGGTTTGATTAAAGTTAAAAAATTAATATTCTTATATAACCGCCACTGAGACCAAGAAAAAAACATATTGCATAGAGACACTCCTTGAAGTCACCTTCTCCAGTCTCTTCCCCAGTAATGTTTGCTGAATTTACTTGTCAGATTAGTTTTGCCTCATTTTGAAGTATATATAAAGTACATATTTTATGTAGTTTTTAACATCTAGCACATTATACATAATAGTCATTTGCTGATTTTAAAAGCTGTAAGGTATTCAATGCTATGAACATGCCAATATTTTTTCTTTTTTTGAGGTGCTGGGAATTGAACCAGGGCCTCAAACATGCTCAGCAAGTGTCCTACCACTGAGCTACACCTCCAGCCCACATGTGCCAGTGTTTATTTACTCCCTTTACCTATGGAATCAGGCATTTGGTTGTTTCCAGATCTAGGCTATTACAACTAGCAGCGCTCGGATGAATATTCTCGCATGTGCCTTAGGGACACACTTGAGCATCTCTTACAGGAGCAAACGTTGGGTGGACATGCTGTGTCATGGGGTGTGCACAGACCCAACTTTAGTACTATCATAGGAGTAGCTACAAGAAAAGGGCAGGTGGAATTGAATTTTCACTTCCAACTCATTTAAACTTAAACATAAATGGGCACAATGTGGCTAGAGGCTGTTGTACTGGACAGCAGGGCAAAGGGACAGTGAAAAGCCTGTGATTTCATCATTAGACTGTGAACTCTTCCCCTCTCCTCCTCCTCATGGCTAGGCTTTTGGATCAAGCCCTCATCAACACTGTTTTAGACCGCAGCAGCCTCCAGAGTCTTGACTTCTTCTGTTAACTCTAGAACCAGGCTCCACATGGTAGCCATTCTGGTCATTTCCACACATTCTTGCTTCTGAGCTGCTTTCCACAGCCCAGAACCCAGACCTTCCTCCTCTCTGCCCTGTCTCTGACTGGGCTTTTTCCCTGCCCACTAGGCTCTCCACAGGATGCTTCCCCCCTGAGTCCCCAGACCTGACACCCTCCAGCCCTCAGGCCTCAGACCCCGCCCCCAGGCATGCTCTTCCTAATATGGGGCTTTCCCTTCCAATCACTCCCAGACCCTTCAGTCTCTTCTTCCTCTAGTTATTACCATTATCGGAAAGTCAGCATTTGTTCGGGGACTGCTTTATCACCTATTTCAGGCTATATATATATATTTTTCAGGCTCTATGAAGAGAAAGGCGTTGCCCATTTTGTTTGAAGTAAGAATCTCAGCTCTCAGCTGAGAAGAAATACAGTCACTATACACTTAGCCTCACTCATTCGATAATACTTGCTGATAATTCTGCCTGAGAAGCTTCACTGGAGAGGTGATCTGAAGCCCTACTAAAAAAGAGCCTTTAGGGCCAGGGATTTAGCTCAGTAGTTCCAGCCCCTGCCTTGCGAGCACAAGGTCCCGAGTTCAATCCCCAGTACCAAAAAAAAAAGACCCTTTAAATTCCGATGTTCCCAGCTTAAGAGTTTTAAAGAATACTGTTCACTGAAAGAAAAATGAAATGCTTACATTCCCTCTTTAACTTGGACCAATAAAAAAAAAAAAAAGCACTTTTTGAATGGAAGAGAATGGAACTTTGGGCCAGGAATTTAGCTCAGTGTCACTGTGCCTGCCTCACAAGCGTAAGATCCTGAGTTCGATCCCCGGTACAAAAAAAAAAAAAGAATGGAACTTTTTAAAAAGCACAGTTAGAAAAAATATATAGTTTGATTCTTCTTTCTCTTTAAAAAGTTATGCTGAAATTACTGTTGGAAAGTGTGACCTGGAAGTAGACACCCTCTTAATTAATGGGGTGAGCCCCACACAGCATGTACTTGTCGTGCACATCAGTGGCTGCTGGGGCTTCCCGAGGCCGTCCCGGCTACAGTTTGGCACCAAGTCTGACTTCCTCTGACCATGGCCTGACCCCAGCAGATTCCCTGCTTTTGCTATTAATACCGAGGCTGTATAAGAGTTTCAATAAATGTGGGGTTCCCAGAAATGTCTGACCTACTTTTTTGTTGATCAGACAGATTTGTGAATTTATCTATTTTAGCTTATCTGGATAAATACAATTTTCTTAGAAGAATTTAAAGCAAAAGTTTCAATACTGTTTTAAGTGGTAGTTTAAATTTTTTAAAAAAGTTTTTGAGAGTTCCCTTAAAAGTGACATTGAACTCAGGTGGAATGTTGACTTTAACACACTCTGAAAGACAGACACTTGGAGGACTTAAAATGCAAAAGATGAAGGTTCAGTTCTCAAGGTTAAAAGTCTCTTATTATGACTAACTGGTGAATTACAGTGCTGCTAACTTGAAAGAAAGAAAAGTGAATTAGACAAAAAAAGTAAAATAGTGAGGGGAGCTGCTTACAGACGTTAAACAGACCTCATCCTGAAATACACAGGACAAAAGCAATGTTCCCCTCCCAGAGTCCCACAGGGTTCCTGCAGCAGGTGTAAGTCACACTCCTTTATTCCTCTCTGGTCTTCGGGCAACAGCAAAGGTTTACTTTGGCTCACAGGTTTAGAGGCTTCAGTGCATGGGCAAAGGGTTCGAAGACCTTCCACTATATCTCACCTCCTCAGGGCTCCTCCACCTCTCAACAGCACTGCACTGGGGACCAAGCCTTTACCATTCAGGCCTTGAGGGGTGCTTATGCTCCCTACTCAAGTAGAATCAAAGCCATCAAGAGCATAAAGTAAAACTGGGCTTGGTGACATATACTTGTAATCCCAGCACTTTGGGAGGCTGAGGAAGGAGAATCTCAAGTTCAAGCCCAGCCTGAGCAACTTAGCTACTTAGGGAGACCTTGTTTCAAAAAAAAAGGCTGGGGACATAGCTCAGTGTGAAGGCTCTGGGTTCAGTCCCTAGTGCCATCATAAGAATTAGTATAAAAGATGAATCACTCTGCCTTGTCAAATTCAAAATTTTAAATTCCTTTTTTTGAATTAAGGTGTTATATACATGTGCCAACGTCCCACAAGGATGTAAACATATGCACTATGCCCACATATTAATAAACTGAAATACAAAAATGACACCAAAAAAATCCCTTTTTTCCTCAGCTCTCAACAATTCCACTATTGCTTGACCTCTTTTTTTTTTTTAGATATGGGAAATGAAATCTAGGACATTTATGTACTAGGCAAGCATTCCATCTATTCTCCCAGCCCTTTTTGAGACAGGGTATGTAGGCCTGCCCCAAACTTGGATTCCTCCTGGTTCAGCCTCCTAAGCAGCTGGGTATGTAGGCATATGACAATATGCACAGGGCTTGACCGTCTTAAATATAATACTTCAACTAACAATAGCCCTCAAGCTGCCTCACATATCAGGAACAAAATGAAGAAGTGAGAAGCAAAAACTACCTCCTGGCTGCTGTATAATATTTGTTATAAAGTCCACAAACTAAAAACTGTAGGAGACCTTTCTTCACTCAGGCCTTATTTACTTCTCTTTTCTCAATTCTAAGCAAGTTTTCCTACTCAGTACCATATTTGTTGAAAGAAGTCTGATTTTGTAGTTTCCAAGTTCATAGGACTTGTAGCTAGAAACTGAGTTAGACATAAATAGACCTTGTAAGGAGTAAGCATTATTGCAAATCCAGGGGGAAATGTTTGAAAAGCACATCAAATTTAGAATGAAAGGAGGGTTAAACAGTGCTAAGACTTTGTGACATTTTGAAAAAAATGGCCACAACTCTTTGAAGCTCCGTCTGTCAAGAGCTAGACTCTATCTGGCTGGTCTAGTGATTTGTTTGGGCAAAGAGTGTGGGAGGGGCTCCATGTGACTTCTGACTTGGGCCTCAGGAGCCCTTGCACCTCTGCATTCTTTCCTTGAGCCTCGCTTGGGCTCACTGGCCGGATGATGAGTGAGCACACGGCCCTGTCTTCCCCTCTGGCCCAGCTGACAGCCAGCTAACACCCAGGTGGCCATGCCCAGGGGAGACCAGAAGAACCACAAAGTCTTCCAGGATTCAAAATTGTGAGCTAAATGAATAGTCTCAAACCACCAAGTTTTGGGTGGCTTGCTATGTGGCAAAAGCTAATGCATGCACACCTTCACCATTATAAGGTGCCTTAGCCCGCTGCTTTACCCGAAAGTCAATTATGTGGATAAACTCATTTAAAAATAGTCAAGTTGCCAGCCATGGTAGCATATCCCTGAGCACTCTGGAAGGCTGAGGCGGAGGATCACAAGTTCAAGCCCAACCTGGGCAACTTAGTGAGACCCTGTCTCAAGGTAAAAAATAAACAAAAGGTAACTTAGTGAGACTCTGTCTTAAAGTAAAAAAATAAACAAAGGGTTGGGGATGTAGCTTGGTGTGAGCACCCTGGGCTTAATCCCCAGTACCACAAAACAGACAAATGAATAAAAATAACAGTACT